AATCATGAAGTTCACTTTGTAAATTTTGGTCATTCAGAGTTTCAGACGGGGCCGATTTTTCACTCTGGACTTAACAAAATCAGTTTCACAGTCAGATCTGTGTCTCGCTCAAACACCAGATGCTAATCTGAAGATTTCAGAACTGGATTTCACAAACCAACAGGTGACATCATGGTGTTTATGCCCATGTTTTATACTGCCTGGCCAAACCCAGGTCTCCTTTGGTCCAGTTGCTGAAGCGTGCTGAGCACCCAGAAACTGAGCCGTCTGTCCTGCTGCAGCTTTCTTTGAAGCTCTCTGTGCACGCCTCACTGCTGGCACCACCTGATTTCAAACGAGTCTCCCACAGAACCTTTAAGCCTCGAGCTCAGAGGCGAACTACACGAGACTTTTATGGCTAAAATCACAGGGCTTGTTTCCGCGACTCCCACCGTCCATCTGCCAGGCCCGGACCGTGTGATCGAACATTGTTTTCTGGAAAAATTCCACTAAACACAAAAACAGATAGCAGGGCACATATTTCCCAAGGTCATCTGGGTAAATAAGCTAATGGGGACGGCAAAGAGAGAGAAGTGAGGGACGTGAGGAGGGATGGATGCATCAGGGTGAAAGGAAAAAATACAGCTGGACTAAATGCAGAAAAAAACACAGGACAGAAATAGAGTGAAGGATGCAGAGGAGGGGGATAAAAGGATGGGAGAGAGGGAAGGAAGCAGGAAGTTAAACGGAGAAATGAAACCCAGCCGGTGCTGGAGCTGAGGACAGGTGAAGGAAGAGAAGCCACAAACAAACAGGATGCCACACACACTCGGCCTGTTTACTTCCAGCTGAAATTAAGACCGGAACAAACCCATTTCCAGCAGACTCACAAAACAGCCGGACAGCTGTGGGCAGCGTATGAAACGAGAGCTTTTATTTCTATGGGCTGAAGTCTGCAGGGGGCTGCGGGGGGGTCGGGCTGCACCCTGACCGGGTTTCACATGAGCTCGTTCAGTTTCTGGCTGTGACAGAACGCAGGATAGTCATATCACTGTAAAACACTTTGTCTCTCCTTCACTTCGACTCCTCGGCTCAGCGAGGTCAGGGGTCGTCGACTCCCTTTGTGAAACGCTTTACCGAGTCAGTGAGCCAGAAAAATGGAGCCGGGGGGTAATTTTACCCCCCGAAGAAGAAAGAGACTTATTAGATTTCTAATCTCAGTAGTTGCCCTGACCTCAGCCGTGAGTCGCTGCGAGGCATTCCTCCACCTCAAACGGCTGAATTATTGCTGCTTTTAAGGAGCAGCGTCTGTGGTTTGGAGTCAGCCGTGC